GCGCTTGCAAGCTTCCAGCCCAGAATGAAGGAAACTGGGGGTTGAAGAATCTAGAAGAGTCGTTTTTGGGGTGGCCGCAATCTTTCACTTTCTTCTCTGGCAGATGCTTATTCAGGGCGCAGGGGAGGCGATAGTCCGATAGAGCGATGCCAATGCTATATGGTGGATGAGGTATCGTGGCCCTGGCTATCTCCCTCAGAACGTGGTGAGTTGGCATTGCAATGTGAGGTCTGGCGTACATTCGGAGAAAGGAGAATCTGAGACGTTTCTGACGATTCCCTCGCAACCCCGAAGCCAGCCTAGAGGGCTATTCCGCGCTGACTTTAGCAATGCTTGTCTTCATACAGGGTTGAAGGGGTTCCCAAACAAGTGGAGTGGACTCAACAAGTGGACTCATGACTCATTTCCACCGGTGACCGATTCAGGGAAGACTCTGCTTTTGCCATCCAAGAATGGATTTTCCCCAGATGGTCAGGCGTGCTTCCCGCTCATGGTCGGCCGGACCATAAGGTTTCCATCAAAACTTCATTCTGCAGCAGTCCTTGCCATACTGATGGCGTGTGCTGGTGCATCGGCTGCGCTCAGGTATCTGCTACAATACCCTGGTAGCAACGTGCGGAGGCACTCCCAATTTAGGGTGCAAGGGGCGCTCATCAAAAATGACCGCAGGCCCAGTATGAGGTTGAAGTTCATAGCTCGTTTCGTCTTTGCCGTTGCGATTGGACCACTAGCTCAGTACCCTATATCAGTAGCAGAGACTGGGTCAAACACAGCGCTGGTCTTCTCTGTTGTCCTCCTTGCTACAGAGTTCATTTGAGGATCGTAAAGCATAATCATTCATTATAGTCACTGACCTATTTTTATTCCTAGTTGATTAACCCATTACGGGCTTGCGTTTCCGAAACCATGCTGTTAAGGCTCTTGAAGCATACTTCAACATACTAACGTATTTCGCAATGAAACGGTCTTAGACGGAAGAAATTTGAAATTGAATAGAAATGCGACAGGAATTATGAGACAACCCAATATATCAATGCAGCTACCATGAGCTTTCGCTGTTTCTGCCAGAAACATCACAAATTTTGTGAATCAAGACTTTTGGACTGCACTGTTTTGTAGGCCAAGCACTCGTCAGCGATACTGGATGGCTCAGTAACCTTCATAATGCACATTCTACTTTGACTCAGGTTTACTGCCAGCAACGGCTACACGGCTTGGTATTCTTATAGTTGATATCTTCATCCTTCAACAGTGGTTAACTTCAGGGAAGTTTGAGGTGTTTTCGTTTGGATTTCTTCAGAGCTACGTTGGGTTTTTGATTTCGATTTGTTTCTTCCTTGTATAGATTAGTGATCAAAATGGCCCGCACTGCTACACAAAAAAGATTGCGTGGTCAACAGGACATTACTTCTAAGGGAATACAAAGTACTGCAACTTCGGACAGCTCTCCGCCTGATTTGGATGTTGCAGGTCTATCTTTGAATGATCTTGTGTCTGCCATGATCGAAAGGAATGAGCAAATCAAAGACCCGATTATGGGCAAGTACCTCAACGCTCTCGTTACAAAACTACCTCAAGCAGTCACAGATGCCGTGGAAGGAGAGAAGCGGGGGCGGAGCCTGGTCATATCAGGTATTCCTGAGTCGGCTGCTGAGCTGCCACCTTCCATCAAGCAGAAAGAAGTTGAGTCAAACAAGTGGACAAGTGGACAAGCTAGATCCGCTTGCGTGGATCTAGCTTGTCCAATGTATTTGTGCGCAGAAGTTTGAACCC